TGTGTGTGTGTGTGTGTGTGTGTGTGTGTGTGGGTGTGTGAGTGCACTTTTACCCCCCCGATCATGAGAGGAGCCGACCTCATACAAGGGCACATTGTGTTGCCACAATTTAATGTGTAAACTCAAATCAAATCCGCCCCTAATGTGACCTACAACAGTCAACCTAGTTCAGATAGTCCATTAATTTTACCCAGTCCTCATGCACTTCATGTCTAATTTACATGCTGTGCGACACAATAAACCAGCAACATGAATCATAAATACCCACATGACTTTCTTATGAGCTCTTTGGGAAAACAAGATGACTCTCAACAACTGAAGAGATAAAAAATGTAGGCAGACCTCACATTTTTGAAACACTTGGTCTTGCTCATATGTCTGGTTTGTTTGTCATCTGCCATGTTTTCCAGATTCAGAGCAGGTAGGTCAGTGTGCAACATTAGTTTACGACAAGAAAACCATCTGAAAAGACCTAAATGTACATGAATAGACCTTTAACACTGAAGCCCCTGGGCTCTGTATTTATGAAACTGTGCAGACGAGTATGGTCAAATAGGTTTTGTATGTTTGATGAGCAAACACAGCTCAGTTGAGTGCAGAGCAACCTGGGAAATAGGCCCAACAAGATTAATACAATAATAATAGGAGGAAATGCATTATTCGAGTTAGAGCAGACTGTCACTGATGCAAATACCATACACGAGAAAAACCAGATGCTGTGCAGTGGAACATAGTCCTTATTCTGTGGCTTCACAAACCCTTGAACCCCTGTCTTTGGTCTGCAGCAAGGAGCCACGGTGTAGGCACAACAATACACTATAAGAACTAGAATGGCACTCATTCACTGATCAAACTGCCGTTCCAAGCCACCAAGGCCCAACCGTTAAATTGAAATTAAACTGCACTGAATTGCAAACCCTATCAGTCCCCTAAACATGCCTGAGTTTTATGCCTCTGCATCGACAGTTTTCGGTTTCAGTTGTCCATCCATCTGCCTGTCTCATTCTTGTGAACATATCTTAAGATGCCTTGAGGATGCACTGATTCGATTTTGGTGATCATAGGTCGAGGTCCCGGTGGCCTCACGTGGTATGTTTATGTTTTTCTTAAACGTGATAACTTAAAATCAGCTTAAAGAAATGTATTTGAAGTCTGTACAAATGTTCACATGGACTCAAAGATGAACTGATTAGATTTTGGTGCCTGGAGGTCAAAGGTCACAGTCACCTCACATCCCTGTGAATGTGATATATTAGGACTGCACATTAGGGATTTCAGTACATCTTGTCTCACTGATTAGACTTGGGTGGTCAAAAGTCAAAGGTAAAGGTCATAGTGGCCTCTTGAATGTGATATCTCAAGACTGCTTCAGGGAATTTCTTCAACTTTTGCTCAGTTGTCACTTGGACTCAAAGATAAAGTGATTATGTTTCAGTGGCCAGTGACCTGATATGAATCTGGAGTATGTAGAAATATGCATGGAAACTGCACTGGTTGGCCTAGGCATGCAGCCGCAGTGCGGTAATTTTAATTTCATCAAGAAATTAAAATTATTCCTTAGAAAATCTGTGAAAAGAAAGTGATTAAATGTAGGGATCCGCCCCCTCATCTGGATCCAAGCTAAAATGATATGTTTTCTACTCTGACCCATATAACATCCGTCCATAAAGTTTCATGGTAATCCATCCTGTAGATTTTGTGTAATCTTGTTTACGAACACACAAACTGACCGCAAAAACAAATGGACAGAAAACTACTTATGAATCCTGTTTACTTCACAGTGCAGGCTGGTAATGATGTTTTGCCAAATGCTCAGTATTGTTTGAATGTCACAACATCGCAGCTAATTGGTCTGAACGGCCACAGTCTGGATTTTTTAAAAATCTTTAGTAAACCCACACTGTTCACTCCAGTGGTCTGCACAGCCCCTACATCTCAGATCAGCAGTTTGTGCCTTTACAAAATACAAAGGAACTGTGGAAATATCATGTCAGCAGAGTGCAAAGACTCCTGAAAGATTATTTGGGAGAAAAACATAATTTATTTGAACTAAGGGAAAACTGTGTCTTAGCCCGTAACCCAGGGACATATTTACTCATTAAGCACTGAATTTATACTGTGTGTAAGTGCAGTGTTGAACATGTCGTCCTCTGTGCCTCCAGGTGCAGGCAGATTTCGAGTGCTTCCGCATCCACGCCGAGGAGAGGGAGCGTGAGACAGAGGTGGAGCTGAGGAAAAGGTTTGAGGAACGGCTCCAGGCAGCAGAGGAAGAGCTCCAGGAGGCCAAGGCCCAGATCTGTGCTGCCCAGGAGGAGAGTCTGAGGCTGAGCGAAGAGCTTCAGAAGGCAGAGGAGCAGATCCAGGAGCTGGATGCCAAATGCGAGGAGCTGCACAAATCCGTTGACGAGGAGAAGAAAACGAGAGAGGAGGAGAGACAAAGAGAGGATGAAAAGAAAAAGAAAGAGGAGGTGGTGAAGCAAACAGAGGACCGCGAGGACTTGGAGAGGTTGAAGGCGCTCTTGGAGGAGGTGAAGATGCTGAGGGAGGAGGGTGCTCGAGCTGAGGAGAGCAAGAGGCTTGCGGTGAAGGAGGAACAGGAGCAATGGGAGCAAAAGATGAACGATCTCAACGAGGAGAAGGAGGACATGAGGAAGAAGATGGAGGCGGAGTGGAGGGAGGAACGGCGGAGGTGGGAGGAGAGAGAGGAGGAGGAGAAGAAAGGTATGCACAGTGCTCTGAGAGAACGAGTGAAGAGGGCGGAGGCAGAGGTGGAGGGTCACCTGGAGAGGCTGGCCGAGAGCAAGAGGAGCACGGTGAAACTGCAAGAGCGGATACAGGTATTTACACACACTCACTCCGAATGTTTTCACTTGAAAGGAAATGGAAATGTTGCCTCATCCTGTCTCTGATGCACCCAGCTAATGATCATGTTGATGGGAAAGCAGGGAGCAAGGAGAGAGGAGAGCCGGTGGATCCTGCTTGTCTTACCACTGGCTGCTCTCCCTGAGTGCTATTCCCACTGCCAACTATCTGCTAATGAGTAGTTTGAACAGGAGAGATTCACTGCACCACCACCATTACCTCCTCACGCATGAGCATTAAGAAGCCCTGCGAGAGCTGGCACAGAGCTGCCATAAGCCCTCGCAGCCGACCATTAGAGACTCACAGATGGGAGAGATCGCATCCTGACTCCCCACATTTCATTCCATCCATTTATCTATAGTTTTTCCGATATCATCTGTCTTTTTCTTTCTTCCCTGCATCACCCTCCTCACACTAATCCCCCTCCTGCGCCCTTGTGACTCCCCTCCAGGACCTCGAGGAGGAGCTAGAGCTGGATCGAAGGCGCGTGTCCGAGGCAGAGGGCGTGGCTAAGCGGGCGGAGGAGGAGCTCGCGGTGGCCAAGGAGAGGCTGCTGCTGCAGGAGGACGAGCTGCAGAGCCGAGCAGGTAGTGGTTCAGCCTGTCTCCTGGTGCAAATCCACCTGTCCTCTTACCTGTCTGCTGAAGAAAGCTCAGAGCGTTATTCATTATTTTCTCTGACGCAGAATTAACGTAAAGTTTTCGCCTCATGTCATTATAATAAAGTGTATACAGAAAATGCAACAAACACGCATTATTCATCCTCCACTAAGGCAAACAGTTTCATCAAAGTGTCATCATACCCAGTCAGCAAGAACACCCAGAATTTATTCATAGCACGAGAACGATCATAGTTCGGCCTTTCCTCATTCAGTGTTGCTCTGCTGTATTTCCATTCCGCTTCTGTTATGCATAATCAATCAATAAATCCTTGTACATGTGTGTGTGTCTATGTGCTCACGTGGGTTTTGTTTGTTCTGTATGTGTGTTAGAGGAGCTGCTGAACCGTGGACGCTGCCAGGTGTGTGTGTGCTCTGAGGTGGAGGAGCTGAGGAGCCAGGTGAACCGTCTGCAGAGCAGGAACAGAGAGCTGGAGCTGCAGAGCAGTGGCAGAAACAACGACCACGCCCGGCAGATACGCCAGGTCTCACACACACAAATGAATAAAGTGCAGTTACATGTGCATATTAAATATTACATTCAGTGTGCTCTCTATTCTGACAATAAGTCTGTTTTTATTATGCCTGAAAAGTTCCATTTTTTAGACTCATACGTTTTAGCACCAAGGATATAGTTGGTGATAGTGTTGTAATGCACTGCATTATATCCAGATGTGTTTCAAATAGTCTCCCCCTCCACAACATGTCATGGAAATTGGTTGAGTAGTTTCTGTGTAATCCTGCTAACTAACTAACAAAAAGATGAAAACATAACCTGCTAGGTGAGGTAAATATAACACCATTTTTGACCCTGACCTCAATAATAAACATATATTTATTTAGTTTTATAAAATTTTTTGTCACAGAATAAGTGAATATTCTTAACTTTGCTGTGTGGTTATACACACAGTTGTACTTAATAAAGTGACCACTGAGTGTTTGCTGTGTGTGTTTATAGCACGCTGAGGCCCTGTCCAGTTTGCGTTCAGAAATGGTGAGAGCCCAGACAGAGGAGCTGCGTCGCATCCAAAAGCACGCAGACGACGAGAGGGACAAACTGCAGAAGGAGATCGACAAAGAAAGAGAGAACCTGCAGAAGGAGAGGGGCCATGAGAAGGACCAGCTGGATAAGGATAGAAACCGAATGCGCAGGGAGAGGGAGGAGGAGAAGGAATGGCTGAACAAACAAGTGGAAGATGCCAAAGAGCGCCTGCGTCAGGAAAAGGAGGAAGAGGTTGACAGGCTGCGCAAAGAACTGGAGGTGGAGAGGGTCCGCGTTCGTTCCCAGCTCGACAAGAGCATCGAGCAGGTCGAGGCGGAGAAGGCCAATGTGCAGCAGAAGCTGGAGGACGAGAAGAGGAGGTTGGTGGAGAAGGCGGAGGAGGACAGGAGGAGGCTGAAGGAGCAGGTGCGGAAGGCGATAGAGGAGGTGATGAGGAGACACGCAGCTGAACTGCACAGTGTCCAGGAAGCTCTGAGCTCAGAGAAGAAGACGACTCAAGAGGTCAGCATCTGTCCGCACATCATCAAATATTTTACTTGAGTAAAGTACAAACACATAGAAAAATGACCAAATTCACTTTACTACTTCAGTTAAAGTATGTAACTACTTACTTTAAAATATACTTGAAGTATTAAGTATTAAAAACTTGCATGCGGCCTACTCCCTAATGTAATGGTCTACTACATTATAATGGATGAGTCTCGCCCTCTTCATCCATTTCAGGTTTTTCGTTTTAACCAGTTATGCTGCTGCTGGAGGCGGAGTCTAATGTTACCTGCCCGCTCTGATTGGATCAGTAAACCAATTCCCCTCTCATTATTGGTTACTTTTAACAATATCAAAAACACAGTGATCATGTAACACAGCGCTGAGTAGAAAGTATACAGATAATTCCTTATATATATATAGTGGAATAATAAGCACCTGAAAGTAATTTAGTAAATGTACTTTGTTACGTCCCACCACTGTGAGCACTGCTGACCACTTTACAACCTGCTTAACTATTACTGAATGAATGTGTGTGAATGGGAGAATGTGATGCGCTTTGAGTCTGTCACTATGTTACTACATCCCATTAACCATTTACTCTACACTTCTAAACCAATACTGTGATATGCTGTTAATCATTAGTAGTGATTTGACATCATGAAGAGATCTGCTTCCTTTTTGTCTTTCATTTAATGGCCTTTCTTTGGTGCAGTGAGGCTCTTTAGAAAAAAAGAGGCCAGTTTTTGCTGTGCACTTTTAAAAATAGCCTTCTGTTCTCCTCAGCTGCCTGCTCATAGAGGCTTAATTATTTTAGTTTCACTTTCAGTCAGACTTTGGATGTAATTATTTTGGATACAGGGATGAGCTGCCACATGTTCTGTCACACAGCTGCGACAGTAATACTCTCCCTGCCCTGAATCCTGGTGATGGTAAAAAGCTTAAGACACGTTTGGGGCTTGTGGCTCCTTAGAAGAGGAGATTAATTGTTTTCTCTCTGTTTCATTAGAATGTTTTAGAGGCCTGAAGACATGCAATTTTACAGTAATTAATGAGAACAAAAGCAAATACCAGACAAATGTATGTAAAGCAATTGTGCAGCGATTGCAGTTTTTGGGTCGTATCTACTGTCCTGTTAATCATCTTGTGACCATTTGGGGGGTTTGCCGCATCCCCAGGCTGAGAAACACTGCTCGAAAACAACATGATTAATGAACACTTTTTGCTCTGTGTGTAGAAATTAAAATAGATTTTATCACATAATTACTCTTTTCTTTGAGAAGTCCTGTGGATTTCATTCAGACTCATAGACAATAGCTGGGTCTAAATTCAGGGACTGCATCCTTGAGGTGACACAGTCTACCCGGCCTACGAAGACTCCTACGGGCCACCGTTAAGGCTGAACCGAAAAGAAACTTCTGGTTTCGAGAAGAAATTTCCGCGACCGGCGTCACCAGCTTGTCCTGCCCTTATTGTTGTTGCCTAGCAACAGAGCTGAAGTTGAAAATGCCGTGAAAGTTTTAATGCCCCTTGGTTTTTTAACGTGTACCGTTAGCTGTTTAGTTGAGTGGAATAGTGATACTCAAGCTTTGTCATTTACCTCTTTGAAAAATGGTTCATCACTGAAGCACAATGAATCCTGGGATAGATTGGGTTGGGAAGGATCCCCCCATTGGAGCCTTCGTTTCTTGTGGATGGAAGGAGAGATTTGTCGGCCTAGGTTGTAGGACCTTTGAAATGGGACAGTCTAGTTGCTACGCTGTCCAGCAATCGATCTTCAAATGGAGCCTCTGAAGGATGCAGCCCCTGAATTGAGAAACAGTTATAAACCATGTTCACACGGCGGCCATGTTCCTCTTTGAACTCTGATCCAGGTTCATTAACAGCATTTTAAGCTTCATACCCTGGGCAGGTTGTGAATTTTGTCCAGTGTTAATTAGTATCATTAAAGAGCTAAATACAAACTGTTAATGTGATAATTGTCTTTATGATTAAACCTTTTCTTGGAAGGTGTGTGCACGTTTGGAAGAGGAGAGGAGGCGCGCTGAGGAGCTACACAGCGGACTGGAGAAGGAACGAGAGGAGCTGAGGACAAAACTGAAAGATTCTACAGATGAGGTCAGAGGTCAAATAGAGCTTCCATCAGGTCAAATAACACCAGATAAAGCTGTTTGTAAATTAAAACACTCAAATGTTTCCATGTTCTAAGATCTGTCGGCTGGAGGCAGTGATCCAAAAGCAAGAAAAGAAGGAAAATGTGGCGCCCGAAGCCGCACCCTCATGTGGACCACAGTGCTCCTGTGAAGAGGAAGAGCTCCAACAGACTCGGAGTCGACTCTCCCGGGTTCAGGAGGAGGCTGAGAGGCAGCGGGACAGGCAGCAGAGGGAGATCGCGTCTCTGAGAGCTGATAAACATCGGCTGGAGGAGAAAGTCCTAGAGCAGAGCCGACTGAACACGGAGAGGAGTCTCCTAGATCAGGGCCAGCGGCACACCGAGGACCGGATCAGGTAGCAGAGTGAACGCAGGGCCCGCAGGACTTAGCTTAGACTCACATTACAAGGTCTTGACTCTGCTTGTGATCTCCCCCATCCTCCAATGTAATGATCACTAGGAAAATAATTGCAGTTAAGAAGTGAATCCTTGGAATTGTTGCTCACAACGTCCGGCAACATTTTTTTTCCTTTGCTCCAATTTGAATCGGTTAAATTTGAATAAGCTTCATTGTGTAGTATCATAAAACTGCAGCAAAAAGATAATAAACCATTAAACCATGTCAATACATGGGTAGTTTTCATGGAAAGACACATAGATGTTTGTGAAATAATCAGGTTACTACCATGCACATCCAGACATGACACTAATCCCCTTAAACTGAGGTAGACGCATAAGAAAACGAGGCAGGTTAGATTGACAGCACCTTTATGTAGCAAGTGGAAGTACATAGCAGTTTTGCATGTAGGTTAACTCAGCTTCTCTTCTTGCTCTGCTGCGTGCCTGCAGGGCAGAGTGCGAGGACCGTCTCAGAGCGGAGTTCAGGATAGAGATGAACGCTGCTGTTGCTGAGAGCGAACAGAGATGGCAGAACAGAGAGCAGGAGCTGCAGACCCAGGTATCCGAGCTGCAGAGTCAGCTGACCGAGGTGAGTCCTCTTTATGAACTAGTACTTACAGCCACGCTGATATACGACTTATGACTCATTCACCCATTAACACACTGATGACGCAGCATCAGGAGCAGTTAGGGGTTCAGTGTTTCAGTTTTAATGTCTTGCTCAAGGACATTTCAATCAGGAGACTCAAATGAGAATGAAATTAAATTTATTGTGAACAGAGGAATAGTCCCCAGCGGGAAGTAAAATGCAATGTAAGCAGTCCTATGAATTAGGCGCTTCAGATATATGATGAAGTCTTCCCCCCGGGGCCGAGACACTGGTGGTGGTGATGAGGAATGGAGCATGAAGATGGAACGTCTGATGCTGAGATGAGTGAGTCATCCCCAGAGCGGCACAGGGGCGGAGGTGGGTCACTCAACCAAACAACAGAAGGAAGAGTAGAATGTTTTTGAACATTGACAGCTTACAGCTGATTGGCTCAAGGCGAGCGATGCCGGGCTGTGATTGGATGAAAAGGCAGAATAAGCTGGTGGAGCCTAGAGATAGTGGGAACTGGGCATGTGACGCAGGACGCATGAAGACAAAATTGCTGACTAAGCTTGGCTTTATCACATCTCGCTCTCTGGCAGAGCTGGGGTTCGAACCGGAAACCTTTCGATTAATAGACTTCCAGGGTGAGGGAATGAAGTTTGTTCTGGAGTACGAAGAGCCGTACAAAAAGTTAACTAGCTAACAAATGCATTGCCATATATGTGTATTATAATCAGTGGCCTACTTACCATTAGTCCTCATGTGGAGCTACTTTATCTTTGAGTTATCTACCTTCCTAACTCTACTTTGGGTCGTACCAATACTGCCACAGAGAGAATGGGACTCAGTATTAAAACTCAAACATGTGGTGAATTTGTTTAATCTTCATCACAACAACATGAGGATCCGATGATTTGTGATCCTTGTAAATAAACGAATAGTTAAACTCCAGCAATGTAATTCATCAGCATCAGTTTACTAGTGAGAACTGTTTGATGATACAAAATAACCCTGATGATGTGACCTCGGTGTCGGACTTTGGCTCGGAGGCTTTACATTTTTTACAAAGAGACAGTAATCAGCCTCGAGTGTCCCCCAACTGTATGGAAGTGCAGTGCTAAATCGCTCGAGTACTGTTTTAATTAGCTCCATCAGCTTGTTTTGAGTGCAGAGTGTAGCTTTTGCTATATTTATTTGTTTTTTGGTAAGCTGTTGGAGTCTGCAATTTCTGAAACAAAAGCGACATCTCAATTTTAATTCAATGCCTGCAGCAAATTTATCGTCTCGGGATTAGTCCTGATGTTCCTGACAATTTCTTGCCGATTCAGTTGGAGAAAAAGAAGGCGGGCCAGGGAGATGATTGCCACGGCAACCCCGAAATTGACAGGCTGAGGAAGGAGGTCCAGGACACCAAGGAGATAAACAAAAAACTGAGGGAGCTGCTGCAGGTACAGAGACGCACGCTCGCTTCAAGGGTTGTGTGCACTCTTCTTCGTAGGTTTTCTCTGTGATGAATAATTTAGTGGCTTTGATGATAGCGTTGGAGAGATATTCTGTGAGTGTGTGCATTTAGTTGAGTACGTGTGTGTGATCGTGGTGTAAAGATATATGTGAGTTTAGAGAATAAAAAAAAGAAAGAAATGTGTGTTTCTGTGTTTGAGGATCCCCAAACCCAGTCTCTAACTGAGGAAAGACAGAGTCACGCCGTGGCTCTGCAGACGTTAGAGAGACAGGCGAAAGAAGATCTGCTGTCTGAGAGGAACAGACTACAGACAATGCACCACCTGGAGCTAGGTAACACACACATACACACACACACACACACACACACACACAC